GTCTAACGGTTTAGGAGTTATTGGCAAAAATGAAAATTTGGAAGAAATTGAAGGGGTACCCCTTGGAAAAATCTCGGAAAAATCGAAAATTTTTTTTTGTTGTTTATTATTAACAATGTTCTTCCGACGTCTGATTTCTTTTTAAAAAATGCCTTTCTAAAGTGCATAAACTTTTGGGATTGACTCAATACATCCTTAAGAAACAATATAAATCGCGCTTGAATAGATTCTTCTCAGTATGGATAAAGTAGGAAATAAGCCTCTGATCGATTTAATAAAAGTCGAAATTGTCTCATCGCCCAGCGACGTTTTAAATTGCAAAAATTAATTTCTAAGTGCGATAATTCTGAACTTTATTAGCTCACTGATTGTTGATTAATCCACCTAACTGTTAATACTAATAATTGAATACTTGTGTACAGTACGTGAGTGAAGTATACATACTCGTGTCACGTTCAATCGATTTCGTGCATGCGTAATATAATTCTATTCACTGTTTCGTGAATCGTTGCGCAATGTTTTCGTTCCATCAGCTTTTTACATTTCATTAGCCGGACGGAAAGTGATCTATTAAACAGATATCAGAATGGCTGGGACGGATTATGTGATCGCGCCGCAGATACCTCGGGGACTGGCACCTGCGATTGAGGGACTGGCACGGGAAATCCTGCGGAAACGTCCGCGGGACATTTACACCTTCGCCGCTCGCCACTTTGAACAATTGGTGAAGTTAAGGGACAAGGAATGCGGTGTCAAGCCTCTGGATCGAAAATCGTACAAGAACGACTACGTGTTCGACTGGATAGACCGTAACGACGTTGAAACCCAGAAACGGATAATAAAGGATCTTCGCAAGTACACGCACAGTCTCAACGAGGATGCGATAGCGAAGGGACAGCGTATGATATCGACGATGAGACAAGGAAAACCGAGAAGAAGAGAAAAGGAGATTTTGAATGAAAGCGGTTGGTCCATAAATCGTACAGTCAAAGTATTTAAAGAATACGAAGGCCAGAGAGAAAATGTAAAAACGCGAACGAACGGGAGATCGACTAAGAAATTGGTCCGCGAACCACATGTATCAGGAATCGATTCGAAGAGAGTGACACTATCTGGTAACACATTGAAAAATATTAAACGTCCTGTAGATAAATTATATAGGAGCGTTGGAGAGGAATGCGGACAGGGTAGAGTGTCTTCGAACAATTTAAAGAGACAGAGGAGCGCCGATCAAATAGAGGCAAGTGAAAATGCTGCGCTATTCGTTGATCGAAGAAGAAGCCGGTCGCTCGCGAATAATGAGGACAGAAATGAAAATGCGAGGCGCAGGTGCGCGGAAGAATTGCCTGGAAGTTGGAAGGAAGAGGCTGCGGTGAAATTGAATCTCCGGTCGGATAAGAAAAATGGAGAAGAACCGAAAGATAGAGGAGAGAAGTATACCGTTGAATCCAGATCTAACAATGTTTTCGATCAAGCTATAGTGAACGTAACGACTGTCGTTTCGGTAGTTCTACCGTCGGTCGTTACGCGACAGTCCTCCGCGAACAGTGTAAGGAGCGAGGTGCATGAATCTAATGACGAGTGCAAATCGAGTTTGGTATTACCACCGATAACCGTTGATCCTTGCAAGTCGGTGAAGAAAGAAAGCAACTTGACGTTGCCTTCACTGTCGAACGAAGCCGATGGTCGGCCGACGAGCAGCTGCGAGGATGGCTCAAGTCTTGATCCAAAAGAAAAAGAATCTACGAATCTTGGAGCGGAACTCGTGAATAAAGAGGAAATCGTTCGGTCCTGGGAACATTTGAATAAATGTGAAGAAACTGTTGATAAGGATAAATTAGACGAGACGCAGCATCGAACAGGTGTAGTTAAAAATTTACTGGAGGTCGAAGCCGACGAACATTTCCAAGACAGTTTAAACGTTACACCTGATCCTATCGATAATTCGCAGAGAGCAGATTCCTTGGAACAGATCGAAACCGAGAATAAAGATGAGCCGGAATTGGAAGAGGGAGCGAATGAATTAAAGAGGAAACTGATTGAAATAGAAACGGTCGAGAAAAGTATTGAAAACGCACTAGCCTCGTCTCGGTCAAACGTGAGCTTTGATCATGAAATTCAGGCGACGGATATTGAACAAGAAAAAGATAGTTCATTACACAAGGAAAAGGAAATTCAGTTGGACGATAAGGCAGATCAGATAAAAGAAGATGAAGATGAAACAAAATCCGATAGTGCTAAAGAGAAAGGCAGCAACAAGGAAAATGAAGAGGAGATTGAGGAAGTGTTAGAAGTTCCCATAACTTCTGATGTCGATACAAACATTTTAAAGGAATCTGTGAACGAATCCGTCGATGATCCTTCGTGTTACGTTTTGAAGGAAGGTTCACCGTGTAAAATACCGGAATCGGTGACCACAGTGATCATACCGGATCAAGTGCCGAACGAAATCGAAGATTTGAACGCAATAGATGATCTGAACACGTTAGGAGAATCCGAGAATTATCAGCACGATGAAAGATTTGGAGAATACATAGGACCAGAGGCCCATGATTATCCCTCGGAAGTCGATGCCCATTTCTTACGCGACGTAAAGAACACTTCTTACCAAAATCTCGGAAATATCAAAGAGGAAGAGGAAAGTAACGACTTTGCGAATAAACACGATTTCGATCTTCTTTCTTCGAGGACCGTAGAATCGGTCGACGAGGACAGTGTCGAATCCGAAGAGAAAAGCTCCGATCTGAAACAGACTAGTACTGACAACGTTAAGGAAGACAAATCGCTTCAGACTTCTATTAAAACCGTCGAGAAGGAGACCCTCGATGATCGTTCGAGCGATCTTTCTCTCTCGCTCGAAAAAAGTGAACCTCAGATCCCTGAACTGAACTTGGATTCTCTACAAGACTTGACGGTATCTTCGTTCGAGAGAAACGATTCGAAGAATCTTGAAACCGAAAAGGAGAACGATAGTACCACGGTTTACGAAGAGGAGAACGGTACTTTATCCTCTTCTGATAATTCAAGCGAAAGAAAATCGTCTGGCAAAGTCCAACCGAGGGAAGACGAAGAGAAATCGGAATCTCAAAATAAACTTGTCAACGATGTTATTCGCGACGAAACTGTACAGACTCTGGAGGAAGAGATAGCCAAGGAACTTATACAGAATTTTATTCACGATGAATCTATACATAAAACGAGTGTCGAGGAAGAAGTCAGTGGGGCAAATATCGAGGAATCAGATGATACAAAGAAGGTGGAAGAACTTTCACAAGAGTTAATAAATGCCGAAACAGTGTCTAGAGAAAATACAGAGGTTGATAATGAAAAAACAGAAGAGGAAAAAATAGAAGAAATCGAAAGTGGTGGGAATAAAATGGGAGAGATTTCAGAAAACTCTGATTTATGTTCCGAGTCAAAAATTGTTGAACCAATCGAGGAATATTCACATCGAGCAGTAATTGAAGAGAGCGTTGAAGGAGGGGAAAAGGAAATAGAAGTCGAAGAAAGAGCAGAAGTACAGATCGAAGAACTAAAGGACGAAGAGGAAAAAGATAAAGCGAGTACCCATTTCACTATCTTTAATCTATTTCTGTTCTCCATGTCTTTAATCCCTTTTCAACTTTCAGGAACGAATCGAAGAAACCTCGGAGGCTTCCCATGATGGACAACAAAGATACACCAATTATCGTCACACTGGAGAGTTTCATGATTCTATACCATTACCACTTATCGAATTTCCAAGACTCGTGTATCGAAGGACGAGTATGATCGACAACGAAGAGAACGCGAGTGTTCCCAGTATGAGTTCCCTCGATAGCAACCCTGAACTCACAGTTCCTTACATCATAGATTTATTAGGGAAGTATCGATCGCTCGATAAGAAACCGAGTCTGGCTGGGTTTATAAATATTTCACCTTATATCATTCGTTTTGAAAACGTACTCCATGAACCTCAGACCGTCGATAAGCCCGTTGTATCAACTGCAGAAACGAGTTCCTCTTTCAGTTCCGATACCGATGACCTACGCGAACCATTAGCGCTTGATAATACACCGCAGCCCGTTATTATAGAAGAAATTACGAACGACGACGAAGAAAAAGAGGGGTCACGAGTTACTTCGCAAAATGAATGTTAAACGAAAGAATATACAATGGATAATATACACGCTTTAGTGATATTTATTAAAAAAAGAGATTGAAATGTAAATCGAAGGAAACGCATGCGTGGTCGATCACGGGTCACGACAGCAGGGAGTCGTCGCCCCGCACGGGCGTAACGTATTTTCGACGAGTGCGGTACTCGAAGCGAACTTTTTCTTAAATCTGCTGCGTGATTCCGTTAAAACTACGCGTTCGACATGTATCGTAGCACCGAGGGAGTTGCGAATGAGAACTGTGCGCGGCGGAACAGATCCGTGATCACCGAGGAACAATCGAAATAGCATCAGTGGAGGAACGAGACGTTGCCAGCCAGCGTCGGCAATGCTATTTTGCTTGGCGTGAAAATTATTTCGCCAGCCGCTAGTTACAATCTCGGAGGTACGCAAAAATAAACTCGTCATATACTTTACTTGAACGTCCGCAGTTCTCATGAAGAAACTGATCACGGTGTTGTTGTTCCTTACGAGAAACAAATACCTCGTCGTTACTACATCGTGTTTACAATAGAACAAAACGTTCCGCATATAAAAAAAAATGGGAAACCAAACAATAAGAGACGACGGGAGACTGTGAGAAGAGCGAAATAAATGGAAGGTATTAACATTCTAATAATACTAAACGGGACTCGTCGAGGTTCCATTTTTTTTCCTTTTTATTCCAGTTTTATTTACCAAATGTAATGCACCAGATAATCGTTTCCTTTTTTTTCCACAGCGTCCGATAGAATATTATTCTCATGCGTTAGGTCTTTTATATATTTCGGTGTATGCACAGATTTATTCGAATATATGAAACAATAAAAATGAGATAGCCACGTTCTCTCTTTCCTTTTCTGCATTCTTACTTTGCAAAACGCTATACATATGAATCTTTTCTCTCGTCAGCGTTAGAAGAAGAACAAAAAAAAAGAACAACATCGAGAAATGGACATTTGACCGTCTGACCGCTCCGCTTTCGCTTTTCCTCCCCCGGTTCCAACTTTGCTATATACATACGAGCACAGTATGTACGGAGATAAATATATTAATGATACCGCGGATACCTTTTTTTTTATTGAGCTTGAGGGACGATTAAAAATGTTTCCGGTTTCGAAGGTAACCGTTCGATCATCCTACATGACGTCTGTGAATCTTCCGAATCTATTTAGCTCCGAGCTTTTGTGCGGCAGGCAAGGGTTTTGAATTTTTGAACAGCCGAACTTCTCCATACTGCAGCCGACGCATCTGTTGCAGTTGCAGTGCATCCCCTCGCCGCAAGTCCCGTAGAGTTCCCGCGGTCCTCCACACAGCTCGTCCGGTCCCTGAAGGAAAAAACACGAAATTGTGTCAGATCAGAATCGAACGTGAGCGGCGATAAATAGAGAAGCGATAACTCGCCTTCGCGCACTGTGGAATGCCGCCACAGGCAGCCGACAGAACGATTCCGTATTCACACTTGTGGCATGAATCACCGCATCCCTGACAGTACGGCGGTCTTTGTCTGATCGACGGGTACCCAGTGCACTTATCAAGCCTGATCAAAATTGAAATTTGAATCATTTATATTACCGTCGATTATAATTTTTAAATGTTAGAAATAAAGTAGCTCCTTACACGAGGCAAATGGCAAGTAGTACGGCTAAGCGAGCAAACATTTCGGTTCCTGTTGACCTGAAACAAAATTTGAATGAATTCAATACCGGCTCGTAATGAAGAAATTCGAAACGCCTACACCCTATATGTTCGCGCGTTTACTTACTACGGATAATTAACTTTTACCGAATTCGTATTTTTCTTTTCTTCATCTCACGTCTGTTCGTAGAAAAGAAAATTCAAATGAAAGCCGTGTTTAGGAAGTTTGTAACGCGCGTACATGTATATCTGCTGCGCGTATTTAAGTAGAAAGTGCATCTGATGAGACAGACACGCGAGATAATGCTCTTCACTTTTTGTCTCTTTTCTATCCGCGCATATGAGACAGATTATTTCGAGGAAAAATTATGCGAACGCGCCGAGCCTTGAAGATTATACGAATTCAAATACAATGCGAGAGCGACAAATAATTAATGAAAACCAATTACGTTATTATCACGTAGAATTGTAAGCAAGCTGTAATCGTTCGACGACGAGTCGAGAAGAGTTTTACCTACTGCTCAAGGATCTATGAATCTGTTTGTTTGTATTTTAAGCCACGAATCTGATCCTATCGTGCTAGTTCTACTAGACTAAATAGCAAAGATTGTTTCGTCATTTTGCTTGGTCTATTTAACACAGTTTTCCAAATAGCATCGATAACCGACTAGAAATATGACAGTCCACGCTCCGAAGAGCGAAGACCTAAACATCTTCATATCCGCTTCGCTATATCTTCTTCTCGACATTTCAATGGTACCGTAGGCAAAAAGAAAAAAACCAAGTACGACATAGTGGTCGAATGTCCACGGTGCTCACCCTGAGATCTCCCAACTGTAATGATCGTCTGAGAACGAACGGTTACTCAGGATGTGTATGGTAAACGCGAAGACACGAAGACGGAAGGACGTCGAATGTGCCATTGAAGCCAAGTGCGGTTTGTTTTATAGGGACATGAAGAAAGGGCGAGAGAAGGAAGGGAAGACGCGAAGACGCAAGTTTAATGTATCTATTAACGTTCATCTTCCTCGAGGGATGATCCAGGTTGTCAAGCGAAATCATCCACCGAGCCCTAATTATCTGTAACGTCACCAACGTCCTTCCAGACCGGCGTCTCACCCTACTCGAACCCCTTGACATCCTCCCATTAATATGCAAATCTACTCGATTGGGCGTTACACCCGTCATTTATTGACGTCCGGTCATTTGCATTTGCCACGCTCCAGTAACAAAACTCTTCCGAAAATATATCAGCCGCTCAATTGAATATCAAAACGGTTTAGCGTTGAAAAGGTCAACTTGACCCATTTATCCACTTCGTTTTTATTTTATAATATGTTATAAAGGTAACGCCGTCAGGATGATTTGGCGACTGTTGAACACGGTCCTAATGCGGATCTATCAACCAATCGATCGGGCGGAGACCCTCTTCCTAAACATGAAGAACATCTCGATGATGATGAACCAAATCATATTTCTGATGCTGGCCGATCGGGTCTTCATAGCCGAACCGAAGATGACTTGTCTCTATACTCTGATGTTCTACAACGTGATCACCTACTGCATCAGCTACGTAAAGGAATTAATCGAGAAGGAAGATTGGTCGCCTTACGTGACCATCACGGAGAGGTCGCAGATCAAGCATCTAGCAATGTCCGCTACTAAGATCGTTTTCGAGTGGACGAAAGCCGTCACTTTCATCGTCACGTTAACGTTCATGCTTCTCGTTTTCGGTTTAGAGCAAGGACTCGAGCATTACAAGTGAGTAACGATGCGGAAAGAAACGATAGACAGCTTGGACTAAATGTATATGTAATTGTGTGTACTTTTATAGACCATCGACGATCTACACGGTGATCACGTGGATCTATTACCTCGCGACGGAAAAACTTTTCGTTCAGCTGTTCCCATCGATTTTAAAGTGGCTTCACTGGGAGGTGTTCGACAACCTCGAAGAATTCTACGCACCGGTGATACTTAAATTGTTCACTGTTTGCGTTTCAGCGATGTTGATTTTAGCACTTGTACCTGTCGCATCCTGGAGATCGTTATTTATAGCTAGCTATTTAAATATCTACTTAAGATTAAAGGAACTCCTGCGTATATCCGGGCCGGCGTTGCAACTCGAAATGGACATATTGGGTCCTTATAGGAAAGCGACGGTCGAAGAGATCAAACAGTTCGACGACGTATGCGCGGTTTGCCTGTGCAACATGACTAGGGCGAGGGTGACACCTTGTTCTCACCTGTTTCACGCGGACTGCTTACGCAGATGCCTCAAGACCAGCGAAACTTGCCCGATGTGCAAAAGAGAATTAAAATTTCTATCGGTATCGGCTCATTAGCTGTGTATTCATTAATAGACAAATTTTGCACATACAATAAATGTTTCGTACTATGTAAAAATTAGCTGAGAATACTGGTATTGTATTTAGTATGTACGAGAAAACGACGTACAATGAAATTATCTTATTTATTAGACATAGGATTAATTTATAAAACAATTTCAAGATTTTTTTGTTGTATTTCTTTCAACAATTCCTACTAGTCATAATTAAATAAAGGATATTCATTCGATCTCCCCTGGGTATTTAACAGTAGTTTCTATGTATTCACCATCGGGACTCTCGTAATCCTTTATTGGCGGAGTATCCACAGGTCCTGTTGCATTATATGGTAGGTATGAATCGTCGATCTGAAAACATGTACGTGACGAGCAATCCCTTTGTCTATAGAATGTAGTAGTTCATATTATATCACATACTTCGACAGCTTTCTTATAAAGTTCGATCGAGGCAGCTTTTAATTCTCTCAGCGCCGTTTCTTGCGACATCATAACAGACTTTATGGCTTGTATATCTTTCATCCATTCGACTTGCTTGTACCTAGTCCATTCCAGGTGTAAGCGTCTCCTCCTTTCTATTTCCTCGAATGGCAATGCTGATGTCAAATGGTTGCTCCTTGTTCTGGAAATATTTACACTTGCACATGTTCTCATGTATACAGATCTGAGACGACGTACTCATCTTTCAAGCGATCGAACAACCCATCGATCTCATCAATCGGTTTCATATAATGACTACGTTTCTCCAGGTAACGAATTCTCTTTTCCATTTTCCTCTTCTTTCTCTCCTCCCTAGCTCGAATGACCGCAGGGTCCATCTTCTTCTTCTTTTTAAGTGGCTCACCCCTAAACAGGAATGTTAGTAAAATACCTTTGAGGGGAATAAAATCATCAGTGACTTACATAAGAATCTCTGTTGCTCGGAAATAAAGAGGATTGCACGTAGAAATACTGCGTACAGTATTAACCGAGTACAGTGAGGATCTAAAACAGTGTACGATCATTAAATAACAGGATTTGAAAACTGATCTGATAATGATTACCTGAGAACAGCGTTCGTCATATTTAATACAGACATCATTTTTTAGGTTTTTCTTTACTTTTCTCTTCTCACTCGCTGCTTTTACACTCGCATGTGTCTATGCATAACCTCGTAAATAGTTCTGCTCCATGTGTTTCCTGTGTTTCTAGTCGAAACTCTCAATATAAACGTTTAGGTGCATAGACGAAGCTTAATGCATTATAAATCATAATCCGACATTTCAGACAAAAAACAACGACTGTTAACAATGATTTATTGTTACGAAACCATCGGCACTCGATTCTTTAACTGTTTAATAGTAATTCGATAATAGAAAGAAATGATAGTTGCAAAATGCGGATTTTTTTACTTTTATTTATTATTAATTTATGTTCGGGACGAATATTGTACAATAAATAAGATGAGGAGAAGCACAGAGTAATTGTTCAAGCGGTGAAAAAAACGACCGGACTAATAGGCTAGTGCTATCTCTTCATTTCCTTGACGTTCGGAATCTCGATTTGTGAGAGGAAAAATCTTTCGAAGTAAATAAAGGATCAATAATGAGTAATTAAAAACGTTTATTCCAATATTTTATATACATGTGCAAATACATCAGCCATTTGCATATCGAATGCTGGCACTTAAAATAAAATACTTAAGAAATAGGAGCAATTAACGTAGCATAGAACAACGAAATATTTATCAATGTGTAAAGTACTTCATTTATATACAGACTGTTACATTTATTCACCATGCGCAGTCGTTCTTCGAAGATACTCTGTAGAATCTACTTAATAAAAGTAGGTGATTAATTTTATATTAATTTAAAATGCTAACGAAACAAAGTTGTTCAACATTTGTATGAATTTGAGATCATATCACATTTTTCCTTAAATTTCTATTCCATCGTACCGATATGTTTGCAGAAGACATCGAAACATACATTTTTGTACTTCGTGCCGTACAGACATGTCACGTTATATGTATTTGAATTTTACATAAAAGATTGAATGTATCAACGATTACAATATAATTTTCCTCTTAATAAAGAATCGCCTTTTTAAGTTTGGCTTATCACGAGCTACACATTAATACATTATGTATTATTGCATTTCGTTAAGATTTGAAGAACCGCACTACCCGGACGACGTACTGTTTGCATATCGGACACTCCGACATTTGTTTACCACAGTTCAAGCAACAAGCCATGTGACCACATTCTAATATAATGCATTCGATCGGTTCGTCCCAACAGATCTTACAGATATTTTCATCAGGAATTTCCCCTTCTGTAAATAACGCATACGCGATCAGTTTCAGGTTTCTGCTTAAACAAATAAGATTTGAATCGATATCCTACTTTCTCTGGACTCCTTGTATTCCTCCCATAGAGTCGTCGCTTTCTTTAACAATTCGCACCGCTCCACGCAACCCTTATAATCGACTCGATTCGTGCTCAATAAGTTTTTTAATTGCTTCACGCTCAAACATTCCAAGTCCTCCGATGTATTTATCTCAGACAATTTCACAGGATTCTATTTCGATGCAATAAATGCAGCCATTATTATGCAGAAAGTAGTCGCATAGAGTAAAATGAATCGCATATCGTGGTGCTTCTTACAAGTATGCTAGAATTCTGAATAGTAGAAACGTTTAACTGCTCTGGACATTCGTGGCCATTGACCCTGGGTGTTGTCTCTGGAATTTCGTTCTGATCAGTTCTTGTGGCATTAGTTTCGTACGTCTGGTCCGAGACTTCAGACCTCTCCTCGGAGTTTCTGGTTGCTGATTGATCGGTAGGAATGTTGCTGTAATTAAGGAAGACGTTTTCCCAGGAATTCTTCAAATGTTTGCCTATTCTTGGGAATGAGAACTTACGTATGTCCTCTGTTCTCCGTGCTGTAATAATCCCTACCATTAGCATACACCATCAAAAGCTTTATTAAATCTTCTTTTTCTATAAGCAAAAACAAATTGAACATTAATAATAAAATGGAAACGCTATTTGATCGTGATCCACGTACCTATGCATCCCTTGATAGGCACCCTCTTCGCTATTAGGTACCATCTTATATCTTTAGTCCGCATTTGTATAATTAGACTTCTTATTAGAGGTCTCCTTGACAACAAGCAACAACCAGCACAACTCAGTATCTTGTCTAATCGTCTGATCACACATTCCGAACAAAAATATCTCAAACAATCCATGCATTGTTTCTGAAAGTGTCCCACGATGAGTGTATAAAAAAATTTCGCCACGAGATCTTACCTTCCGTGAGAAGAAAGTGAATTTCGCGTTGCAACCCTCGCAGGCCATGTCGTATTAAGAATAATAAGAGTAACAGTAGGAACGGCTGTTGTCAGCTTCAAACGTATTGTAGGTTAACTTCGATGGACGTGGAGACGCATACTTTAATTAAATAAGCCAACTGAAGCGTAACTTAATCAGTTAATCGAGAACAAACGTTTTTCGTACGACGTAATTTTTAATGTATCTCAGTCCATTGCGAGGTTTCGATAGAAAACTCTTGTAAACAGCAGACTCATACTGATACTGACTACTGACTCACGATCACAGTACCCATGGATGCAATACAATGCAATAATAACGCGGGGGGATTCCCTAATCGTAAACTTTTATTACCGAACATGCAGGATTACAAAATATAATATTGTTTGAATCCACGACTCGGACGTTCCCTGCGTCCGAGCAATTTATCTTATCGTCCATGTGTTAGCATATGACCTGGTCATCTGATAATCTGATCACAAATATATATGTATATGTACTTATTTACACTTATGTACGTATGTACGTACGTGGAGTGGGTATCTATACATATCTTTTACATTTTAATCAATATTT